CCCCCCCCCCCCCCAACAAAAAAACACAAAAACAATCACGCTCCGCAAAACTTTATAAATAAACAAATGCAGCAATGTATATAACAAGGCAGGCCTCCTATTCTGAGTCACCAATAGCAATAACTTCATCTGTACAAACCTGACACTTGTAATGCTATCTTTCATACAAACCAAAAAAATGACAAAAATGGGGGTTTAAACACTCTCAGAATAACATGACTCTTAAAAAAGAAAAAATGTGTCACGACGCGGTGGAATCAGGCACTCATCAATTTTCTATCATATGCAGTTATTGGTATCATCTTAAAGCTTGTTCATTTGCCTTGCTTTTGGTGAAGATAACACACATCTATCCTGAAAAGAAGTCGAGATATTTGCCGTTAAAAGAGGTGGGGACTGCCTGGTGTCAGAGGTAAAAGTATCAAGAAAATGGCTGCCAAAGTTAAGTGACTTCCAAAGCTTGAGTGTCCTTGAAAACTACCAATTCACAATTATTGTGCCTTTGATCAACATTTTCAGTAATTTTAACATAGAAATATGTGGACATCAAAGGTTTTGAGACAAAAAGAAAATCTGTTTTTAAATTTCTCAACAGTGAGAAAAACACCGGTTTCTTTGATAAATTCATTATTTTGACGAGGGCTTGATTTCACCACGATGCCTCACAAAGATGAATCATTAAGCCATCGTTATTCTCAAAGTCATAAAATATTCTTTACACAATAAAGGCGTGACTTCGTTTATAAATACATGAAATATACATTATATATACCATACATGTGTGTACGTATGCTCATACAATCCTGCAGAACATCATCTGTTAAAAAATGTAAATGATAAAAAAGCGAAATAAAAAGACGCCCGGATTGGTTGGGTGTCGGAGCCTATTTAGTCTAGTAGAACGAAGACAACCTTGAGACCGTCTTAAGCTAAACTGACTGTCTGCATAGACGAAAAGAGCCATTATACAGAAGGAAGAATAACCTCAGAGTCCACAAAGTTCTCGGACAACTGGAGAACACACAATAGTATACATCTATGGAATGCATCAAGACGGTGTACACAAGTGCTCACTACAAACAAAGTGATTTAATTGAAAAGGTGTACAACAATTTATTTATAAAAATGACAAAAGCTCGGGAAGAACTTTGATAAAATTCGAAAAAAGAGGAATGCACCTGGAATGTAAGTGTATATCTCCTTTCCCCCCCCCCCCGGGGGGGGGCGGGGGGGGGGGGTGAAAGAAGGATGATATCATATTTACAACAAGCTCTCAGTCTCTGACTCTGGTCTATTTAGCCATAAAAATTCATGAAAGTGAGAGATGAGAAAAAAACTGGGTTCACTGTCACCAACGCAATGAACATTCATTGTGTGCTCCACCCAAGCATTTTAAACCAGATGTGGGTAAGACACGGATGGAGATGGAGATAAAACAACAGCATAAGCCTCAGAAACATACATGCTGAGATATGTATTTACCGATTGCATATGTCTTACTCCGCTGCTGATTCAAGTTAGACTTTTTAAAGGGGCAAGCTTCTTCCCCACTGTCTGATAGGGCAATCAATCCCAGCTGAGTGGGATGCAACATAATTTTAAAAATAATAATAGTATCTAAATAGCACATATTCATGCTCTACAGCATGCTCTGTGTACTTTACAACTATTATTACCCCAGCACACAGAGATACTCGATAAAACGATTACCTCGACTGGGATTCAAACTCACATCTCCTTCAGGCAACCGCGAAGAGCATAAGCACTATGCCATGAATGTCAGTGAGTATACACCAAGGATGGCCATTTAAACACTATCATTAATACATTAGCCTATACAAAATGTACAATCCTTTCCCTTTTTTGAATTAATTTTAAAACTATTATGAGCGGTGATTTATAAGGAAGCAGTAAGTTTAATACACCATTTCAAGCTTAGTCAAAGACAAGCCAAGCTCTTTGAAAAGACTTCTGTGCAATTGTAAAAAGTGAAAATGAAATTAGATGAAGGACCAAAAGCATAGATGATTAATATTTTTTTTTCTTTTTATGGGCCAGGCAGACTTCATTTACATATTTTACTACATTTACATATCGTACAAAAAGAAATCTTGCATAGGAGATGCTGCTCAGGTCACTTGTCATATTACTATGGGACTTGCAGAATGAATGGGCTTGAAATTGGATGAAATTCAACTTGCGCAATGGACATAACTTCTTAATTTTGAGACCATCTTGTCTAATTTGATTATTTGTAAGGCTTGTGTGTTGTTATTTTCCCAATATATGCAGTCAACAATTGAAAAATAACAAGCAGGGAATCTCTGTGAAAAACAAGAAAATGGAATGAGCGTTTGCTCCACACACAGCAGTAGCAAATGGAAGATACTATAAGTACAAGAGCCTGTACTCACTACAATGACAAGCATGGAAACAGAAAGCACTTATCTGGTTCATCATATTGGAAAAGGATGGTAAACCAAATCTATCGATCGTTCGATATCCTTAATGTTACAGGAATAAAGCAACAAAATCAGTGAAGCTTTAACTTTAAGCCAAGAAAAATCAAAACTTTCTGTGATGAGGAACAAAGTGAGTAATGTAATGGTGTAAAGCATAAATTTAAACAGGAAATCTTGTCACGTACAGAAGCAAAACGTATCGCTAAATCATTAAATCATGATGATTTTAAATTTAAAAAGTGTAGATTGTACAACCCGAATGAGGAGCATCATTCTATGACAGTCATCAATAGCAAGACATAACAGCGTCGAGTGAACACAACCGAGAGGGAAAAAAGGAGTCCAGTCAAAAGAACTGCTTCCAAGTACTGGTCAAATTGACTGTTTAGTGTAGGACTCTGTCATACATCACTTTTTAATCCCTTAGTGACCTATATATTTTTTATTAATGTAAAGTGCTTTGAGCATTTTTTAGAAAATGGAAAAGTGCAGCATAAAGGCTAATTATTATTATTATCATTATATGACGTATGCTGTTAGTCATTATTTCTTACACGGCAAACGAGCCAAGATGCTGCTGTGACGTACAGCGTTCGTCATGCCTTGCAAAAGGCGAGGACCATAATGAAAAATGCTTTTCATCATAGGCTGTATTCTGCATACTACTTTTGTTAGATGTATTTCGTAAAAACTAATCGCAGATTCACATTTGGGAATATTTTCTTCCTGACAAAGAAATCTTTTCCTTTTAGAAAGAGTTAGTAGTATTTGCAAACCGGGTCTAATTATAGGAAACTGACCAGCAAATCTAGCACTACTCTGTGTCCCTGGGGATCCAAAACTGGGCCCGGTGAAGCATGAACTGACCCTTTGTCTCGAAGAGGTTAAAACGGCGCATGGAAGAGTCTTATACTAAACAGTCAATATTTAGTTGTGGAACAGACATAATTCTACCGTAACATGTTAAGTCACTGAAACTTCTTTCTCTTAAAAGTAGATAAAAATCTCGCTCAGGGCTCCTTTGCAGGAGAACATTTAAGCAAAGGTACATGTGAGAAACTTTAAACTGGCCTAGTATTGTACCAACAATAATGCGTTGTTACTCAGAGAGAATTTGAACCAAAGTCATCTACAAGAAACCCTCGTACCAGAAGGGGGGGGGGGGGGGGGGAGGCATGTCTAAATGAAAATGTCTTTTCTGGTTTTCAGACATTGAACAAGAGGCATGATATGTTGCTTTAACTGGGGAAAAGCTCGGTACTTCAAAGATTAGGAACGTTCCCCTTCCTGGATTTTTTATCTGTAGATCATTACTAGGGAGTCCCAAGATAATATACAATCAACATTTCTGTATATTTTGCAAAACCACCACATATATGGAATATTCCAAATAAGTCCATCTCCATCAACCACTCAGTAGAAAATGAGAACAGTACACAAATTGTATAAGCATATATCTTTAAAAAGCATAAACACATTTTATACACAAGTATATTAAAAAAATATTTATGTTTTAATACATATATAAATATAAATAAACTGCGTACATCATATACAAGGAATGTGTCAGTCATTAAGTTCTATTCACACAACCAACAATTATTGCATAAATCAAATTTTAACAAAGCTCCTTTTTCCATCTTTTTAAGTTTCAATCTTTCAGCTTTCTGTAACAAGATGACAAAACTTTTCTCCGAGAAAAGCACACTGTAGGAAAAAAGTACAGCCAGCCTCTTGACATCGACCTTTTCCCTTTCCTCCAACAGCTGTGAGGACAAACTAGCAGCACTAAGAAAAAATGTCATGGAGAAAAATCTCCACTGCCACAACCTTTCTCTGGGGGACTGCCGTAAGCTGACAAAATGCTTTTTTTTTCTTCACAGCATTTTCAAGAAAAAGAGGGATTTTTAGTCAGTGTAACCATTTAAAAACAGAGTCACTCTGAAATTTAAATTCTAATTTATTCCCAAACTAGTCAAAGTTTCAATTTGATATTTTCACACAAGTAGGGTAACTGATCAGGATTTCGATTAAGCAAATAAAAAATTTTGGCCCCAAAATGGGACAAAAAAGGGCATTTTGTCAGCTTACGGCACAACCACGCTCTTTGAACTGGAGGAGGAATAACTGAACTCCCTACGAGGATGATCCGAGCTCATTACGAGGACGCCCGGGCCTGCCACTTGCGGAAGGCTTTCCCTCCCATGCTCTTCCACTCCCCGCGAGATATCGACATGTCCTCAAACTGGGGCATCAGGGCCACGGAGCAGGCACCGACGTACGCGGCGTGGTACCTCTGGGGGGCCGCATGAACCTGACAGGAGGAGTGACCGTGAGTTAGAATAACTATAGTAATAACAAAAATAATAATATTAGTAATACTAATACACATAACAACAACAAAAATAATAACAATAATAATAATAGTTATAGTAATAATGATAATAATAAAATTAATAATAAAAACAATAATACAGTGGAATCCTGTTATAACGACAGGGAGGGGACCGGAGCGAAATGTCCGTTATAGAAGGATTCTCGTTGTAAGGGATCCAGTAATAAATTCAAGGGAAATAGTAAAGTAGGACTAATCTATGAGTTTGGTGTTCTGTTTATTTCCTTTTGCTATCTCCCCTGGTGATGATTTTGTTCAACATGATCTCAAGGTCTTACTTGATCAAACATCGAATCAGGTTTCTTTCTCTAGCACTAGCAATGTTGACAGCTCGGCGTTGGCGATCAGAAAGAAGGGGCTCCGACTCTAGGCTAACTCGACCGCTGTGTTGTCCCCCCACCCCATCACTCACTGTGGTGTGTTGCGTCTGCTTGCGCACATCACACATTGACTCCATCTATCACAGCATTGTGACCTCTCCATCCCGCACCAGAGAAGTGAGAGGCACGGTATGCCTAGATAAACTAGACTGGGCTGGCCTATCACGCGATGCGTTCTGCTTGTCTGCGCATGCCACACCCTCCCCACTCATTCGCCCCGCCTTCATTGTTGTTGGTTCGCGTGGGCTCTCCCGTTCTTTGTTTGGCCGGATCACCAACAACTTTCTCAACTGGCGAGGTTTTATGTTTAATTGGTCTGTGTGCTGTGCACAGAAGCAGCACTATTCCGTTACAACCGACTCACGTGACTGTCTGATTGCGCAATAGCAGTATTTCATTTACAAAGATTAAGAAGGGAAAAAAAGGGTTTTAGAATAGTGTCTTTATAACAGACTTCTCGTTGTTTCAGGACTCGTTATAAGTGGACTCCACTGTAACAATAAAACAATAACAATGATGATGATGATAATAATAGTAATACTAATATTCATTATAAAAATAACAACAAAAATAATAATAACATTAATATTACTACTACTAATAATAACAACAATAATAGTAACTGACAAAAGAACGATCATTAAAAATTTAGTTTTTAGTCCAAGACTGAAGAGAAGCTAACAAACAAGGGGAAATAACTAGCATTGAATCTCTGGCCAACAACAGGCAGGAAAAGGTACTCTTACAAGCATTTCTTAATGACAAATATTCTGGTTGCTTCCCTTCACATACACGATCTTTCTTTTTCACCCATGATATTATGGGGACGAGGGGAGCGTATTGAGTATTTTGTGGGTGAGGGGGTCGCAGTTGATAGACAGATCTTCAGATATAATGGAAGAATAAAGGGGGGAGGGTGGGGGGGGACACCCCCAAAAATTAATCAAAAAAACAAAAAAAAACAATCCCCATAAAACGCCAGTCTGATTGGAAAGTTGTTTCAGGAGTTCAGGCCCTCTCACCAAGTCAGTCTTTGCACACGACTAAACATTTTTTTAAACATTATTAAGTAGGTGTTTTTACGCCTCGATCAACACAGTTAAAATCATTGAAGAGGTGGGCTCTGGTCTCCTGGGTACGACAATGGAGCGAATAACCGCTATACCCCAGACCTCAGATGCAAACAGGTGAGGACAACAGCTACACAGGGGATTTTTTATTTTTTAAAGTTGAGTGGGAAAACCGTACACAAACACTTTCCAACACACCCCAAATGTTTCTCTGCTCCCGCCACCCCCCAACCACTTTACATCATGACTCACCTCTACCGGCACTCCAGGTGGAGCCAGTTTGGTAAGTTCTAGCTGCAGCCGCTCTGCGAATCCTGGCAACATGGTCACTCCTCCGCTTAAAAACACAGCTCTGGAAATGGAAAAGATCAAGAGTTTGAGGGGGTTTGTTTTGTTTTAATTACAATACCAGTACACCCACCTACTTGACACAAATACCTTATTTCAAATAAAGATCAATCCGTTCTCAACAAAAACAAAAATTTGAGACAGATATAAAGATATGATTACACAGAACATAAAGAAAAAACCGCAGTAACACAGTTTGAGATGTTGCACTTCAGAAGGTACTACATCAAATCACTGTCAGTGCAGAGACAGGAACAGAGTGACAACAGTAAAACAGTAAGAAAATACTTTCTTAAACAACCCCTGACCACTGCATATCATCAGCCAACAGTTCAGATGCACTAAGCTCAAATTTTTATTTTTTTAAAATGATTATTGCAGTTTTTCAATCTGTGGAGAGAGTAAGTGTAGATGAAACCAGATAAAAGAATATGACTAGAGCAGGAAAGAAGGTAAAAAGAGACAATTTTAGAACACAAAATGTTTCGTCTCTGTCAGGTTTCAAACCCAAGACTTATTGAATGAGAGGTGAACACCGTACCTCTCCACCATGAGAAGGAGGAGAATCTGAAAATCCGAGTGTCATCAAGAAAAAAAAAAAAAATGCATGTTAAAGGTAGCAAATTTTTCTCTGAACGTATAAAAAAACAAAAAAACATTGCAAGTCATAATACGTCACTTGTGTTTTCATTAACTAGAGGTTTCACAACCACCACAAGTCATCCCCATCACCTAGTGCAAGCATACTATCGTATTATTATGGTTATGAGCACAGACGTGTGTGGAAGAGAGGATGGGGTGGAGAAGATTGTTTGTATATGGGTGTGCACTTGTGTGTGTATAAGCATTTGTTTGCATGTGTGTGTGTTTGTGTGTGTGTTTGTGTGTGTGTGTCTGTGTGTGTGTGTGTGTGTGTGTGTGTGTATGTGTGTGTGTCCATGTGTGTGCACGTGCGCATGAGCGCATGTAGGTGTATGCATGTGTGTGCATGTGCAGTCACATGCGCGTGCATGTATGTGTGTGTGCGGGCGTGTGTGTGGGTGCGTATGTGGTGAAACACCAAACCAATGTGCCAGGATCTGGACAATAAAGATTTATCTTATCTTACCTATCTTATCTTTCCTTACTTTACCTAATCTTACCTCTTATCTCTCATCTTATCGTATTTTATCTAATCTTAGTTTATCTGATCATATCTTATCTTATCTTACCTTATCCTATCTTATCTTATTTTATTTCATCTTATCTTATCTCACCTCCACATGTGTCTGCGGTTGTCCATGGGGCAGGTCTGTATGGCTTGGAAAACCAGCCGGTGCAGTGTCGGGTAGTCCATCTCCCACATGTCCACGTTGAAGAAACCCTCGGGACTGTGGAAGCGGCTCAGGTCATGCTCGATACTCCTGGAAAGGAGTGTGAAAGTTTAGTTTCCTTTTAGTAAGAGTTTTACAGCTCTTGCAACACAGATAGGTCACATAAACGCTGTTTTGTTTTTGTTTTAGTAAGAGTTTTTAAACACGAGTTTCAGGGAGAGATCAGGGTAACATAGCTTTTTCAAGAGCATCTGTGCAAAGGAATGAATGGAGAACTATGATCGCCGATATCTGCCGTAGATCTGTCACTTGATGATGATGATGATGATGAAGAATTTTACGGCACTTGTAACACAATAAAGACATATAAATGCCTAAGATTAGGGGTGTTACAAGAGAGTAACATGTAATATGTATTTCCTGATAAGAAATAATAAAACTTACGTACTGAGACCCTCAAAAACATATTAAATAGGTTTTTATTACGTACTGGTTGGCAGCATCGCACTTACTGATAAGCTCCCTCAGGCAAGTTGAACTGCTCAAAGCTGACACCGGTCCTCATGGCAATGGCGCGGTCTTTACACCATTGTTCTTCCTGTTTGTAATCTTGGGCCACGTAGCACGTCTGAAGCAAGAAGAAAGAACACAACAACCGTTGTAATTGAGGGAACAAGGAAAAAAAGCAAGGGATGTCAGTTTTTCGATAATTTGAGTAGTGATGTGGGCAGAAAGTGTATACACACCTCTTCTGGACCAATGAATGATGAAATGGTATAGTTTTAACGCCCTATCAACACTATTAGGTTATATAAGAGGCGGGCCCTCCGAGTTTAACGTCTACCTCCGAAACGACAATGCCAAAATATGGGAAATTCATGTAAAGTGTCATTCCCAAAGACACAACGTCGGACCGAGCTGAGGCTCGAGCACCCCCAACCTACAATCTCACAATTACAGGTCTGGAAGCCTAACCCCTTGGCTACCAACACCACTGTCCACAGATGGCATATATGTCTATCCCAAAAAGGTGGTGGTTACCACTAGCTATTACCTTCTCCATGAGATAGCGCACCAGGATCTGCTCCGTGCTGGACACAAACTTGTAGTTGTTGCCTAGCAACCCCGTCGTCAAGGACTCCTGCACTTTCTGGGCACCATAAGGGCAACGGGCGACACCTCCCTCGATGACGAAACCTGGTGGAGGGGAAGATTGAGAGGATTTGTTGGCATCTCTGTTCAAGGTGTTGGTGGGTGTATGTTTGAAATCAAGAAGGAGGAGGAGGAGGAGGAGGAGGACGACGACGACAACAACGGCGACGACAACAACGATGACGACGACGACGATGACGACGACGATGACGAAGAAGAGGAGGAGGAGGAGGAGGAGATGAAGAAAAAGAAGAAGATGGACAAGAAAAACAAGAACAAGAAGAACAAGAAGAACAAGAACAACCTACCATCAAAAATGGGCAGTATCTCGATGCGATGACCAATGTCCACAATGATGCCGGAGGTGGCGTTGTAGGAGTAGAGCGAGAGCAGGGCCTGCTGGACCATGCAGACACCGCGAACGTTGAGCTGGTCCACTAGACACTCCATCAGACCTTTCTTGAGCACGTCTCCGAGGTTCTGAGGGGTGCTCAACATCACCTGAGACAACACACACAGGCACACAGGTGATAGTTTAGTCTTAGTAAGAGTTTGTTTTGGGAAGTGTTTTACAGCGCTCGCCAACTAAATAAGGTCATATGAGCACTCATCTTAGTAAGAGTTTTACAGCAACTCATACGAGTATAGATCATAGAGGTGCCAAAGAATAGAGATGTTACTAGAGAATAACACACCAAATTAATGAAGGAAGAGAGATGATGACGATAGACATTTGATAAGAACGAAAGAGCAAACCACATCAAGACACTCGCCAACTACCCACATGCACACAAAGAAACATTCCGATAAAACAGGTAATTAGGACAAAAAGTTATTTCAAAATAATTAACATCTTCAAATTGATGTCACAGGCTTGCTTTGCTAATCCCATCTTTCCTGGGGAAATACAAGGGAAAAGTTGCATTTTTTAACGAATTTTTTGTTGTTTTATTTGAGGGGGGGGGGGATACTCTAGAAAGGCAGACAAATATTCAACCTGCCACAGATTTGAATCTCAGCTTGCCGTGTGTTCATTCAAATTCCAGTCAATCATATCTCAGCAGGCAGAAAGTATAAAAAAAGGACAGATCATGTTCGAATGTATATTGTTGTTGTTGTTGGGGTTGTTTGTTTGTTGTTGATTTTTTTGCGGGGGCAGGGGGGGGGACTGTTGTTGTTGTTGTTGCTAGTTCGTATGTATGTCAACATGCCTCATCCCCCAAACAAATTCACTGGCAAGATGATATATTTACAATCAATTGTTCAGTCGGTTCATCTTACCCAGAACTCTGATGGGCTTGCTTGAAGATCTTGAAATATCTTGTTGAATAAGGGTCTCATGAGCTGAACCTCAATGTTGAACTGAAAACAGGATAAACACAAATCACACTGTAAGTCAAACAATACTTTGCACTTCAAAATATAACTATATTGTGACCTCAGAAATAAAATATAAAGATTTTCCAAAGATCAAAATGACTTTGCACATTCTCAAAATTCTTCTTATTATTTTTGATGAACAAAAATGTACACTGAAATAAGACTGTCAGATTTCATCAGCTTTCTGAAAAATAAAAATTAACACATTTTTTCCATGATGTAACTAAATGACAGTTCCATGGATACAGTTAGAGAGACATCAACGCTGCTGATACAAATACATTGAGATGTTAGCAAAGTAGCTTACTATCTATAATACAGACAAACAATTTCACAAAGTCTTGACCACATAGTATTATTCACTGACATTATGCTTCAATAAGAATAAAAGAAAATATATAATGTGAACTTATTACACGTAAAATTAGGAATAGAGATAAGTAATCCTTAAAGAACAGAACTGGATTGCAGGAAAAAAATTCAAATCCAAAAAGGGAGGGGATGGAAGGGAAGGAGGGGGGGGTTGGATCAGGAAACTAGTGAGGAATGTAATCTGTACACTCTGTGTTTTTGTCAGTGAGAGTGTGTGAAAAAGGGTGCGTATGTCTGTTTATGCAC